AATCTTTAATATAATGTTCCGATTTATATGTTTATGTTCGTGTCTTTGTGATATTCTTCTTACATGTGACTCGTCCCTTTGGCACCTTGGTGATCATAGCTCTCCACAATTTCCTCTCCTTTGTAGCTCTTAATAACATTGGTCTTTTTGCCGTCTCTCCCAAAACCTACTCAACCTGGCCATGTAGGTTGTGCTTTGCTTTCCGCTTACTGTACTGTGAGTAGCAATTTTTCCAAGCCCTCTTTCCTCATTATGCGTCCTGGAACTTTAAACTGTCTCTTCCTGATGCAAAGGATGTGCACTTTTTCTTACCATTGTCTCCAGAACTTCGTCGTTGCTCACGGCACGCCGTAGAGCAATATTTGTTAATTCAATACCGTTAAAATGCGCCAACTTGGAGAATTAAGCAGTTTCAAAACCAAAAGGTTTTTAAGTAATTTTTATTAAGTACAAATTGATAATAGATTTCCAAAAGAGGTAACAACAAGTTTATTAACCGGTAATTAGAAAGTCGTTTCCTCAATGTTTCATAATAAAAACCTCGCCAGGAACAGATGTAATGTATTCGTATTTTATTTTACGCTACTAATTCACACACACACACACACACATATTATGAAATGGACAAACTCGGACAATTATTTTAAGACATTTTATGTTTATACATTCTTTTTATAGATACAGATATTTAAGTAAATGCTCTGTTTTATAATAAACAGTATTAATAACATTTACCGGCCTGAATATACGAGAAATTTTCATAGAAAATATTCGTCCTCCGACAGGAATCGAACCTGTAACCTATACGGAACCGTCATATAGCCTGACGTGCCTTAACCGATTGAACCACAGAGGATCGTTCGGTTAGCAAGGTCGATTTTACTGCTTTTAAACTACAATCTTCCATGATTCTCTTACGTACATACATATCTGCTCAAAGCGTATCCAAATGTAAACAAATGACGTCACACATTATGAAATGGACAAAATCCGACAATTATTTTAAGACATTTTTATGTTTATACATTCTTTTTATAAATACAAATATTTAAGTAAATGCTCTGTTTATAATGAACAGTATTAATAAGATTTACCAGCCTGAATGTACAAGAAATTTTATTTTATTTATTTAGATTTAATATAGCTATGTATTGCTCTCTAGTTGACATTATTAATATTTTATATGGTTGTTCCACATTTTTTATTTTTAAACGGTTAAGTTGTATTGACTGGATTCTAAAAGAAGCCTTTTAATTATCAACTCCGAAATTTGTGACAACGAGATATGCATTTGATTATCCTCCTATCCTCTTCTTACCTTCTTATGAAAAATTGAACAACTCATATTTGTCAACGATTTCGATTCAATGTTGCCACTCATTTATAGTTTGAATCAATTTTATGTCTGTCAATAATTGCTTTGTCTAGGATTCTATTTCAGGATATATTTTGCCATATCTAAATTTCCTTTTTTTTTTTTTAGGTTAATTTTGACTTTTACTGACACCTAATTGATTAATCAGTGTAAACCCACAACTTTCATTTTAATTCTGATGAGGGGGTATTTTGCTTTTGAAATTAAAAATAATTTACTCACTAGTAACTTACCATCGCCTGAAGAGGCACAGCTTAGTGCCGAAACTTGAAAGTTATTGTGTAGCGATTTTTAACTTGTTTGTGTTTTAATCTCATATATATATATATATATATATAGAGAGAGAGAGAGAGAGAGAGAGAGATATGAACAAAATGAGATAGATAGATTTGAACAGATTGAAATAGATAGATTTGAACAGATTGAAATACATAGATAGATAGATAGATAGATAGATAGATAGATAGATAGATAGATAGATAGATATGGTGTGATGGATAAATTGTCGTCTAAAGTACGCAAAAATGACAATAACACTGATATCTCATTTTAACAGATATATTTACCAAAATCACACCGGAATATCTTGAAATACTAATGAATAAATTTATTCTATAAAATCGTTCCTACCACAGCCTCCAGATGACTTTGTATCTCCTGCAACTCTTTTAGACGGTCTCCTGTAAGTTGGTGAATGCTGCCATAACAATTCCCTTCAGTTCATCTTTGGTGTTACAAAGGGTTTTGTTGGTCTCCCGTTCAAATGCGCTCCACGCATAATAATCAAAGAGGTTGCAGTCTGGGGTTTTATGTGGCCAAATGTAAAGAGTAATGTGTTCGCAGAAAATGTCTAACAGCCATGATTGGTTTCACCTGCTTGTGTGGCATGGCATAAAGTTCTGTTGCCAGACTTAGGTTCTTCCAGAAGCCACCCTCTTGACCAAGGGCAACACTATCTTCGCAAGACTCTTGATGTGGGTATTTGTGTTAATTCTAAGGTCCTGTGGGAAGAGGAATTGAGGCATAACGTCGCCATCAATAGTGATCACTCTAAACACCTTCATAATCACCATTAGACTCATCCAACTCTTTCTGAATCCTCTGAACTGTCCTCACATTGACACTCAAAAACACTGAAAGATTCGTATTGGAGCTTCCGGCGCAAATGCCAAGCAGTACATCATGCCGTTTCCAAATTTCTGGCGGAGTGAATTGCGTGATGGTGCTCTTTTTCTCACAGACGGTGCCCAACTGACCCTACTATACTTTGTAGTCGACAAAATAAAAAAAAAACAAAGACTGTGCATGCGTGAAATTAAAAATATAAAATGGCGATAATTTACCCATCGCACCCTTTATGTAAAGATTAGATTCTTCTTGTATGTCTTGCTTTTGTCCGGGATATAAGAAATCATAGCTATCCACAGCTTCCTATCTCATTTCGTTTCTAGTAGTTTTTCTCCCTTTGTAAAGTCCCCTGTCACCACCGCCCCCGTTCCACCATCCATTCACATATGCTGGTTAGATAACTGCCTCCCCCCCTATCTCCTTTGCGTTTATTATACCGCGTTTAGGTTAAGTTTTACAAGCCCTCTTTCCTCATTATGTGTCTTAATTCTGAGTAGAAGTGTTCTTTCTGTTACCATTTTCTTTAAGTGTATCATATAAGTGTCGTTATGCTTAGAACCATTTCACAGGGCTTGACAACACCAGAACAAAGATATTCCCTAAATGGCCGAACATTCAGAAACAAAAAAGTTGCAATCAGTTTTTCAAACTTTTTGGAGGCACCAAGATATCTAGGGGGGGTCCAGATTTCTTTAAACTTGGGATGAAAAATTTGGCTTTTCGTTGGGCTACAGTCATCAAAAATGAATGTGATTACATGTTTGATATTTAAATAAATTCAAATCATATGTGTTTTTATAAACCTTCTGAGAAAACGTAATTACTTGCTGAATACCATAAGTTTTTAATAATTTTTCTTTAGTTATTTCACCCTTAGCAAGGTAATAAAGTCTCTAAGACGCAAGTGGTTACTGAGAGTGAAGGAAAGAGTGAGTGAACACTAAAAGAACCGGTTTCAATGAAGCCGAAAGAAAGTTCGACAAGCGAGAAGTGCGAGAGCAGATATTGTCAACATAGAACGTAGATACGACCAAGCTGACAATCTGCGCTTGAACTGGTCAAGTCGAGGGACCAAAGAGGAAAGCTATATTTATTTCAAAAATACAAAAATGTGGCACAAGGCCAAAAGGTGGGATAGGAAAGGCTGGTCTCCAATCCGTCTTATCTTAAACTTAGCTAGCCACATTTACTGAACCAAATAGCACAATATTCCTTACACGAAAACAACACATTCTTACTTATCATTCTTACTACAGTCACCATAATACCTCAATGTCTTTATGAAGTCCTAACTAGTTCCCATATGTTCAATGTGCCAAAGTGAAAAGCTCATCAGAACAATTACCATGAAAGTATTTATAGAAAAGGTACAGTCAAGTTGCGTTAGGGCGACGGGAAAGTGACTGATGCCGAGATGCCAGGACAGGACCAATAACATTGCAATTTAACTTATATTTGTTTTTATATTGTTGTGGGTTACGTACTACAGGATTGTAATGAACGAGGTTGATTTGGTAAATGTTGGAATTTTTGGGGTACCCTGGTGTACTAGTGAGCCAGCCAAAATGAACTGACTCATTTTATAGTTCACCAATAGAAGGGTTAACCAATCAGAAGGCTCAAAATATTCAATGCGGTCATGTTTTTACCGAATACTCACTGTCAGCCTTTGATAACCCGGACCCGGCTCCGCCGAAGGGCAGTCTCTCGTTCGGGGAGGTTGACTGCCCCTGAACCCGTTTATTCGCGTTCGAATAGGGAATATTTTTGGCCGCGCCTACGGGCTCGGAGATCCCACGTTAATCCCGGCCTTGTGCCACATGTAACCCTCGTGTTCTAAATATCACTACCAGCCTCTGATATCGAAGACTGAAGAATTACGGAACAGCTGCTGGTGGTATTGGTGATATAATCAGATTCAGTAGAGTCAGACACTCGTGAGTGTTAATCTTTAACGTTGTTTCATTGAATAGATTACATACTGCGCTGTATTCTATATTCATAGATTATGGTGAACATGGTCAACAGTAAGTAGTTTGTAGTGGGTAAAGTTTGCAACATATTACTATTGATAATGAAGATGTTTAAAATAAATGAATTCAGACATTTTCAAAAGAAACGAATTCAAGATGTGGAGGAATTTTTCATATATCTTTATACGCCTTCTCCGTCTATAGAAAAGGAATAGAGGTCTTGGTTTCTGATTCTCATTCTCTCTCTCGCCCTTTGAGTCTTAGTGGCATTATCGCCTTCGTTGGTTGCATTCGCTTAAACCTCTAGGAGTTATTTAATGCCGAAATGTAAATATTCTATACGCAATTTCATTTTTAGGAAATAATAATGGTTTTAGTAATACAAGTTTTACTAACCCATAGATGGAGGAGAAGAGAGGTTATTTAAACGTAAATGATTATAACGAACCCAACAGGAACTGGAACTCGGCTCCCCGATTAACAATTCCAAGCTATCATCCATTACACCAACCGCACATCCAGTCTTACAGCACCTGATATTCCCAACCGGTCACCCACCTAGGTACTGACCAGGATCGACGTTGCTTAATTTCGATGATCGTACGGGAATCAGTGTTTTAACGTCATGTTGCCCTAAGCCCCGCTTTGTTTGGGGTGAAATGATTATATATATATATATATATATATATATATATTAATTTTTATATACGGACAAAGACAATTTACTCACTACAAAAATGCATTCTTGTTTCGATGCGGCTGCATCTCGACTGGTGAGAGCCAAAAATGGTTATGAACAATTCTATTTGCAAGCAAGCCGCTTATAGAAAAAACATAAACACCTGAAGGTAGCCGAAGGGTAAAGAAAAGGGAGAGAAGAGAAGGAAAGGAAAGAGGGCGACAAAGTAAGACAATAGTGTTTGTCTATAGCAGTTTGGGCGTTGAAGGATTCATGTATACAAATAGTTAAAAAAAAAAAAAGAAAACATTTATGTTTTAGCCGTAGTGTGTGTGTACGTGATGCGCCACGTAGCTGACGTAAATTAAGAACACGACCTGCCGGATGAAGTCATTTCCTCTGTCGGAGAGAAGACCTGTTGTTTTCGCTACTATATACCGGATGAGAAAAAAATGAATAGAGTTTATTGACCCGTCCTCTTAAATATTTCACGTTTCAACTTATTATAAGAAATGATTTGGTTTGGATTTTATTTCATTAAAATTTTAAAATTGAATTTGTTTCATTAAGCAGACAATCTCACTGTCAATATTAAGGGATCTTTTTACCGCCACTGTTGTCTTGAACTTTTACCCGTCTACGCCGGATAATTTATCTAGCTTCTCTGTAAATCTTTTATTTATTGCAGTTTGACGTTGTCTGTCTATCATTCTACTCGTTTATCTTTCACGTTTACAGTTGCTCCATGAATGTCATAACCTGATAAACAATGTTTTGATGATCGCCAATCAGAGAACATTTGTTTATATAACGGTTTCATTCATTACATCCCAACTTGACATTTAGAGCCTGGCTTATATGCTGATTTGTTGAAAGAAACAGATGACAAGACATAAAACCCTTACATAAATATAGACTGGCCTACTCTGTTCCCTATCTATCTATCTATCTATCTATCTATCTATCTATCTATCTATCTATCTATTTCGAGATATCTCTCAAAGGTTTCGGGAATTTAACCCTGAAATAAGAATCATCATCATCGTAGTCATCATCATCATCATCATCATCATCATCATCATTGCCTCATATCTATCTATCTATCTATCTATCTATCTATCTATCTATCTATCTCAGTCTGGTTCATTCTATCTATCTATCTATCTATCTATCTATCTATCTATCTATCAGTCTGTTTCAATCTATCTATCTATCTATCTATCTATCTATCAGTCTGTTTCAATTAATCTATCTATCTATCTATCTATCTATCTATCTATCTATGTTTGTCCATATCTCCCTCTCTCTCTCTCTCTCTACCCCCTCTCTCTCTCTATCTATCTATGTTCATATCTATCGATCTATATATGTATCGATCTATGTCTGTTCATATCTATCTATCTATAATATATATATATATATATATATATATATATATATATATATATATAGAGAGAGAGAGAGAGAAATTTATAGATAGATAGGAACAGACATAGATATATAGGTAATATATGTCTCCTCATATCTATCTATAAATCTCTCTCTCTATATATATATATATATATATATATATATGTGTGTGTGTGTGTGTGTGTGTGTGTGTGCGTGCGTGTATGTGTGTATTATATGCACTGTATTTAATGGAAAGGCCTCAATATCAGTGATAGAGCTAGCATATTCAGTTGTAAGGATATTAGTTTGTGACTCTTGGTTCCACGCTTTTGCGATCATCAGACAAACTGGTTTATTTTTTTAAAGAATGGACCTATTTATGTTCATTTGTGTTCGATTATGTTTGATGGGGGATTTTCTTCTGTGTTTGTTTGGGAAGACACTCTCGCATACATAGACACACATACACACAGGTGCATGCACCCCAGCTCATACACACACACACACCCATAAATCCCATATAAACAATCCAAGGCTAGGCACAGACATATATATATATATATATATATATATATATATATATATATATATATATATATATATAGAGAGAGAGAGAGAGAGAGAGAGAGAGAGAGAGATAGCACTTTAAATGTTATTTTTAGTGGATACTGGACAGGGGGAAAATCGTTGTTAGATCCAACGTGCTTAACCGACTCGACTACGAAACGGCCTTGACGACCAAGCAAAGTTTCAAACATGCATTTAAGCGAAATCCTTCTCGTATTAAATAACAACGAAGTTTTCATATCTGCTCAGTTTCATATCCAAACGTAAACAAAGTTATTTTCTAAGGTATAGATAGATAGATAGATAGATAGTAAGAAATGGACAAAGTCCGACAATTTATTTATTAAAGACATTTTTATGTTTAACGTTCTTTTTTAAGGCACGTCAGCGTAAATGACGGTTCCGTATAGGATGCAGGTTCAAATCCTGTCAAAGGACGAATATTTTCTATGAAAATTTCTCGGACATTCAGGCCGGTAAATGTTATTTAATACTGTTTAAAATACAGAGCATTTACTTAAATACTTGTATCTATAAAAAAAGAACGTTAAACATAAAAATGTCTTTAATAGATAGATAGATAGATAGATAGATAGCGATCATTATCGTCATCACACACATATACATACATACATACATACATACAGATCATACGACAAGCTAATCTCCTCAAAACTAGCTCGCTGATTGGTCAATTCCGACCAATCAAATCGCCTGCACGCGAGGAATAATATTCCCGCGCACAAGGCTGGGAGCCTGTCACATGAGACACAACCTTATATAAACAAAACACGAATAGGCCACTCTCGTTCTCTTCATTCGTCTTTTTCCTTGCTGCCAAGATGTTGTCTTCAAGAGCTGCCGTCTTAACCGTGCGGTCAGACGTTAAAAAACAATGCCAACAACTCTTTTTCGCAAGTCACCAGTAGAGTCCAGCAAATTTCGCCTGTCAACACAAACCTATGACTTTACTCACGACATTTCAAACGCACACACTGACACAGAATTTGGTAATACATATATACATATCTCTCTGTAACTCAGCCAAGTTCAATCAACCAGGACTGTTAATTCCTCTGACACAACACACTTTCTGATGAATTGTATTCTTGTGCTATCTATTCTAACAAACAGTCCTATGTTCTAATATTGATTCCTGAACATTTCTCTCTAAAGAGAACTTTCTTTCGAACAATCAAATACAAATCAAAATACGATAAAAGGGAAGCAACTTCTTTTCCCTTAATCTATACATTGCACACAATATTATTGTATATTTCATTTATGTATGTTATTTCAATATATACTTGTTGATTCACATTTGGAGTTTCGTTGTTGTCTTGAATCATTTTTTATACAAAAGTTATACACGGGCCAAAGAACACGCAGCCCCATAACAGATAGATAGATAGATAGATAGATAGATAGATAGATAGATATCAACATACATAAATAGATATAAACAGACTGAGATAGATAGATAGATAGATAGATAGATAGATAGATAGATAGATAGATAGATAGATATGAACAGACTGAGATAGATATGAAGGAACAAATAGATAGATAGATAGATAGATAGATAGATAGATAGATAGATAGATAGATATGAACAGACATAGATCGATAGATATATAGATCGATAGATATGAACATAGATAGATAGAGAGAGAGACAGAGAGAGAGTGATATGAACAAACATAGATAGATAGATAGATAGATAGATCGATAGATATATAGATCGATAGATATGAACATAGATAGATAGATAGATAGAGAGAGAGAGAGAGAGAGAGATATGAACAAAGATAGATAGATAGATAGATAGATAGATAGATAGATAGATATGAACAGACATAGATTTCTAAAGTATTTCTTATTTATCAATCCGGCATATTTTTATCACTTTAAACGTTATTTTTAGTGAATACTTATATTTGATTAGATGCTCCATTTATTTATTAAAAAGTATATTTATTTATTTTCATCTACCGCCCGCCCTGAATATTCGCGAAATCTTATTAAAGAAAATAACCGCTCTCCAGCGGATTGATAAATAAAATACTTATTTTCTACAATCATTTCTTACATTCATATAAACTCATCTCATCTCGCATTATCATATTGACTGTAAATCTCTACCTTGAGTTACTCTCGATCCTTATACTAAGTGAAATTTATGAATTTAAACGCAATATTAGCAACAAGGTCTAATCAATTTACAAGTGAAATGGCTAGATTCAACCGTAAGTTCTATGTTAACAGTTTCTTCTCTAGCACTTCTCGCTTGTTGTCTTCCGGCTCATTAGTTTTCAGCCAACTTTGAGCCTTAAAAGTTGAAATGTAATGTCAATCGTTATCTACTGTCTTCTTGATTCCTCTTTTTTTATTGTTCTCGCTCTTTAATAATGTTTCTCTCTGTTATTATTCTTTTACACTCGGTGTCTTAGTGGCTTTACAACCTTGCTTGGGGTGAAATGATTAAAAAAGAAATTAAATCACATATTTCTGGTCCCCAGTTTCTTGATTTCTTTACTCGTTCTGAAATGTCATCAAGTTTGTTTTGTTTTTGTTTTTTGTTTGTTTTTTTTTTTAATCATTATGTTCATAACTTATATCTCTGGCACTTCAACATGTTGTGATAGTTAACAAGCTTGTCTTGCTAGATCAATTATGAGTTGAGTCCTCACTAGGTTCTCTGCACTTTCGGTCTTGTACTACATTTAAGTTTTAATCCCCACAATTTACATCTTTGGCCCAAATACCTCCGCTCACATTTTAGAATCACTGTTTGGTGGCCCAAGTTTTTCTTATCTCTCTGGAATTTCATAAAAGATTATAAAAACGGTCCAAATGATTTTCGAACTTTTACGAGTTAAACAGCAAATTAACTGCCACACAGAATGACCACAAATGGAATTTGAGACGGAAGAAGCAGTTTCTTATATTAAGAATATTGGTATGTCTTGGCTGGAGTCAAGCGTTAAGAATTTCCTGTTTTCTAATTATGCGTTCACTTTTCCCAGATGTGTTTAAAACTGACTCGGATAATTTCTTTTTCTTTTTTTCGTCCATCTACACGATTTCTCACATGAAACATTTGTGTTTCTAAAACACTTTGGCAAAAAAAAAAAAAAAAAATCAACATACACTCAGTGACCGCCATTTTGTCCTGCCTAATTTTCCTCCTGTTCAAAATGGTATTTTTGCCGAAAAGCCTTAAATGCTTGCCTATCGATCGGAAGAGATATTAAAAATAAACACACACAAGCATAAATATACTTTGTTTGGTCCATTAAAAAAATAATTTATATATTTTACATTATGTTTTGAAATACAAAATCCTAAACGGAAATGAAAACGACATCCTTTTTAGAAAGGACGACGACCACTTCGAAAATGATGAAGATATATACTTCGCTGACAACACAGATAAAACATGGACGGCAGAGAAGTAGATAAAAATATGCTTAACTAGCAGCATGGCCCGGCGTTGCCCGTGCTTGATTCAAAAATCGTACGACTCATACAGCATTCGCTATCACTTGACTGAAAATATGTTTGCCCTTCCATGCCTTTAAAGGAGTGCCCTTTGCCATGCTGATGTTGCTACATGCCTTACTTCTTGCCTATCTCACACTGCGAATTTTTTCTAAGCTCTATACTAAACATTAAATCTGTTACGAAAAAAGAACAAAAATGAACACAAAACGATCAGCTTTAAAAAAAAAGGACTCGTAACTGGAAAAATCTAATGAAAAAGAATGTTAACAACAAATACTTTTTCACACCCAACCCAGTTCTGCGGAATCAGAATCAACGTTTGAGTTTAAGCAAGCGAATGGACCAATTGGAGTGCCATGAAGATTTTAATTTTTCCCACTTGTGACGAATGCATCTATCGATTTTTTTTGCATGCTAGTTAACATTCGTGTAAGTCAGCTGTTGGTTCTCACGCTGGCCAATAGAATCTTCCTCCTTATTCGTGGCAGCCAGCTATAGGCTCTCACTCTGGCCAGTAGAAAATTGCCGCAAACTACATGAAAACTGCCGTAGAAGCATGAAAAAATCGATTATTTCCACTATCGATGGGAGTTGGAAAATGCAACTTCGGTGTTGGCCTTCCCGCTAACTTGGAGCATATGCATGTAAATTTTGGTGAAAATCCGTCGAAAATTGCAGCCGTGCATTCGTTACACACACACACACACACACACACACACACACACACACACACACACACACATATCCTGCATTTTATAGATAGAGATAAAAATATGCTTAATATCTCTACGAATATTTTTTTTTTTAAATGCATTTTCTGGTTAGCGATTTAACCTTTTTGGAGTGTAGGAAAAGTAACGCCCTTTTTTATTTATTAATTTTTAATTGGACAAAAATAACTTACATTATCTTAAGAAAATTTATAAACGATACCACATCAAATC